TTTAATTGGTCCATATATTATGGGACCATTCATCTTCCTACCCTAAAAAAAAATAAAAAAATAAATAAATAAAATGATAAAAAAAAAATTAGAAAAACAGATTATGATAATTTTCTTTGCATATATAGAAATGGGTTATCCAAAACTCATTCCATTGAAAAGTAATCCGAATTTCCCTAATAAAATTTTAAAAATAATTTTTTTTGAAAACAATTTTAAAAATAATTTAAAACTCATTTATGTTAACATCTCTTAAAAATAAAAATTATTTATGGTATAACATCAATTTTCTTGTAATAATAATAATAATAAAAAAATTAATTCAATCTATTTTACCAAAGAATATTTAGAAAAACATATGACAATTACATACTCTCTCTTCAAATAATTCTTCTATTATAAATTTTGTTTGTAAGACAATCATTGTTCAAACATAATTTTTTTTTTTTTGAAAAGTGGAAATAACAGCAACAAATAATACTCTGTAACTTTTATTCTAGAATTAAATAATACGAAGTATACTTAAATAACAACCCCCAATGACTTGGAAATTAAGATCCCAGCATTTTGTTCAACATCTTTGTTTTTCTCACTTAATTCTGTTCAATGAAGATATTGATAATTCCATAGAATAAAAACAAACCATATATTAATAAAATATTTTAATTTATTTTTCATGTTATGAAGTCCAATTCTAATAATGAAATTTGGTAATTATTTTTGATTAAGTATAGATTATTATTGAATAATCATTTTCAATCATTTTCAATCAATAATATCAATATATATATATATACTGTATGTTAGTTGCAACATATTTTAGAAATAAAAAATTAATCATTTATTTTACTAAAATAACAATTTAATTAAATGACTAGTAATTTTGATTGGAAATGGAATAAAATACTACCTTCGCTTGAAACTCAAAAGTTGACTGGTAGAAGTCAACATCAAATTGAGATGATTATTATGTCCAAAGAAATAATTACCTAATCAACAATGTCCAAATTAATGATTGAGCCTTGTTATTATTATTATTATTTTGTACTCGTACTTTGTTCCTTGGTTTTCTTTTAAATGTAATACATCTTTTTCACAGATTTTTTTATATAAAAGTTGATTAGAGTAAATAAATGAGCGACTATTCAAAATAATTTGAACAATAATAATAGAGATTTAAGGTTTAGGTATTGCGTGTACAAATAATTTTGATTAATTTGTAGTTTATTTATATTGCTTAATATTTTCCTTAAAATACATGCCAAAAAGATGTATTGCATTTAAAAGAAAAAGGGAATGTATATTCTAAAATGTTGACCTATGATCTAGAGAGGACAAGAAAGTGCCAGAACTTGGCCATTATCTTTAACTAGGATAAGCAAGCAACCTATACAATGACCAAACAAACATGAATACACGAGCAAGCTATACATAATTACATACCTATCAGTATTTATTTCTACTATTAGCTAAATTTCTGAGTTTATTTGTAATTTCATTACATTCTGAAATTAGAAAATTAGGGGCTCTTTGTGTTGTGATTTTTTTAATTTTTTTATTTATTAATTCTATCTATCTTTGATCCCAACAAATAAATAAAATTCACCCTTTTTCATTCCAAATTTTGTTGGAAAACAATAATTATCCTTTTCAATTACCAAAGTTTTAAGAAAATATAAATAAAAAGAAATTAAAAGAGGGGTGAGGGGGGGGGGGGGAATTCACTAAGTCCACAATTAGGGTTATTAAGATATTTCTAGGCTTAATTCTAACGTCTCTCTTAGGGTTATGCCGAAGAGGCTTGAGTAGGGCGTGGTTGAGGAAATTTCTATATAATACTCCTTTTGACACAAAATTTTTTATAAAAAAATTAACTCAATACATATGGAATTGTTAGTTCTACTATTTGCTTAAGTTTCAATTACATGTGAAATAATGATCAAATTACTATTCATGTGTTTTGGATTTTGCTTTCTTATACACCAAATCAAACCACGAATTTAAAACGTTTTGTTGTCTCTAAGCTCACCACTAATATAACAAACATGCAACATCGCACAAAAGTACAAATAACTTTTTTCTAAACTTCTTGATAGACTAGATCCCCTCTCTACTTTGCTTTATGTCTTCAAACACATGGGGGATAACTCTCAATTGCACTTGTAAGGACATACACCAAACTTAAATCATTCCAAAATATCTTTCATGCAAACATAGAAAATTTGTTGCATTTACTAACGCTTCTTGTCTTGTTGATCCTCTTCCCACCCTAAATTCCCCAATATACACTATATTCCTCCGTACTTTCATTGTCAAAAAATAATAGTCATATTGTCTCAACATCTTATAATCAAATTGCACATGACAATATAAACGCAATACATATCAAAAGTTGTACTCTTGCAAAGTCAACCAATCCTTGTAAAATCTTTTAACCTCATGGTACAAGGGTAGGAAGAAGTTTAATTCCACACCTGGTTTAAACTTTTTCCAGAGCTCAAGGGTCTAGACTCCTGGAATTGGGGCAAAATGCTTTATTGTTTACGCATGTTAATGCATGAAAATGACAATTCAATAATCATCATTGTTCATATTTACTTAATCAACTCAATCTACTCTTTTGGGACCGCCATTGTTAGTCCCTTTTCTTCAATCATAAATAACCTACCACAAAATAAAGCTTATGCAATATGCATGTAATTACACGGTCAAAGATACCCTTTCACTACTTCTTCCCTCTCTTATTGGTTCCTTTTCTCTTATTGCCATGATATATATCCTTTCAATCAAATAATATTTTGATCGTTTGAACTACATACCTGTCATATTGTCTCAACCTTCAATAATTACATATTTGTAATATAAAAACTTTTTTTTATTTATTGTAATGATGATCAATTACACACACACACATATATATATATATCTTCCCTAGGGTATTACATACCTAGAAGTTAAACACATTAAGAAATTAAATTACAAACCATGATAATAGATGTCTTTTTATATACATCCAAAAGTGGTACATGCGTACTCCTTAATAATATAACCCATCACACAAACACGTTTTGAATTTTACTCTTTAATAATATAACCCATCACACAAACACGTTTTGAATTTTTATAGCGAAATTCTAAAACATTTTCTTAGTGTATTCACGACTATTAATTTTAGACGGAAGTAATTCTGCTACGAAAAAGTAAGCATAAAAGACCAATAATTACACATGTGCGTCAACCACTAACATAGATATTGTCACTGGATACAATTGATGACTTCAATAATTTATATAAGCAAGATAATGAATTTTAAGATTGATTGATTAATATGAAAAAAAAAAAAAAAAAAAATTGGTAAAGCCTCTTTTTGATGCTTCTTTCCAAATGAATTTTGATCATATGAGTCATTGTCTACAAGATTATCTTCGCTTGTTGTTATGTGGGCTGTTATTGAGGGTGACAAATGATCCAAAGAAGGTTAGGCCTTTTTCTTTTCTTGCTATTGTTGCTTTGGTACAGTTGTAGGGCAAAATAATTCTCCATATTTATGGTTTTTACAAAAACAAATTGTAGTAAAAGAACATGTAAAAAGTGCGGGCTTAAAGTTGTCCACATGGACTAACCACATAGACCCTTCAATTCTCTAAAATTAAAGATATTACCACTTGTCAAAATAAGATGCTCTTTGGCCCATTATGACTGGTCAAATTTTGTAATATTTTGCGGTATAAAATTAATAGTCATGTATATTATCTAATACATAGTAATATTTAACAATAACAGACTTTTTATTTTGTTATAATTAGATATTTTTCAACATTTCAGGAACGAAGTTAGGATGTTACCTAAACAACCGAAGAAGAACAATACTATCTCTAAATATCACAAAGTCGATATAGATGATTTTACAAATTTTGCAATTTTGGAGCTTGTCAATTTATCTTATATCAATAGCATTAAAGTATGATTACTTGTCGTCTTTCTTGTGAAAATAAAAAAAGGAAGCATGAAGAATTTGGAAGTGTCACTTCAGAACAATGTTGAGATTAAAAACAATGCAGGCCTAATATCGTTGATGTGGTTGATATGTTGGATTTTATGTAGCCCATTGACGAACTGGATCAGTTGCCAAGTCAAGCTTTTACTGTCTTGTACTACTACATCCAACATCTTACAAAAGTTTACACTACATCAATCGTTCTCATTATTCACAATTCTAACACCATATAGGAATGTCTCACTTGTTAGCCCGTTTTCGTACTCTATCTAGAGCTGGGCATGGGCCTGATTTGGTAAAAGCCTACCACTAGTCCCGAATGGCACATGAGAGGCACGCTGGTGGTCATAGGTCATGCATGGACAATATTTTTAGTAGCACGGGCTTGAAATGAGGATGACAAGTCAATCTGCATATTGACTAGCTTAATCAAAGGGCTTGTGGGCACAAACCAACACAGCATGGCATACGGGTCATGACTTAACTAGGCTTCGCTTTTGAAATATTGGCTTGAGTGTGATAGGATATCGCAAATTTTAATGTGCACCACGCCTATATTCTTGAACATTTAGCAAAAAAAAAAAATATAAAAAAATAAAAAAAAAATCTAAACAATTGTAAAACTTGAACATTTAGTAAAAAAATATGAGTATCGCAAATTTTGAACATTTAGTAAGAAAATCTGAATTATCGCAATGTAACATGCCTATACTTTTGAATATAATCCAAAATTTGAATTGTAGTATATCAAATAAAACACTATAACATAAACATCAATTTATGAAAGAAGTTTATTTGACTCGTAATAATTCAATAGTTTTGTAATATAAACTGAACATTTACCCCATAAATGAATATCACTCTATAAAATATGAACATACAAAATTGCATGTTCATGTTAAGTTTTTTGTGACGTGTTCACATATTTTATTGTATGTTTATTTTCTGTAAAGTGTTTAAATTTTTTTACTAAATTATCAAAAATATAGACCCCAAACACCTATTTCTAGGTGCATCATGATGCACATAATAACTATTGATAGGACATGACTTTATCTGGCTCTAGGCATGACCCCCTTGATGAGCATGAGGCTTGCTTACAAGACTCGTGCCAACTCTAACTCTCTCTAATGAGAAAAAATTATCGAAATGTTACTTACTTTCTGATGGTTACCTAAAAAACCTTGTGCCGGGGAGGAGGGGGGATAGGAACAACCAAGTATATATTAAGACAGCTACAAAAATTTGGTCTAAATTTATAAGCGTAGCAAATTTTCATCCATAAAAAAATTTACTAAAGCATTTGAGATAGTAAGATACCAAAAGGGAGTTCTAACTTTCAAACTATACTCCATTTGTTAAGAGACAAAAGCTCTCAAAACCCATATATTCATGATTCTCCAACTTTTCAATCATATGAGTAATTCCAATTCCTCCTACAATATTGGATGGGAGAAAATTAGCCCTTCATTAAAACAAAATACAAAAAAGCTTCATAATAATACATAAACTTTTTTTTGTTATGTTTTTCTGTTACTTGTGGAAAAAAAACATATTGTACATTTGTACATAATAATAATAATAATAATAATAATAATAATAATAATAATAATAATAATAATAATAATAATAATAATAATAATATTGTTTAAATTTTCCTACCCACCAACATGTAGAAGGGGGGGATCCAAAATATTTTGTTGATAAGCTTAAAATCTTCAAAATTTGTATGCAGGATTATTAGTCGTTTATATTTATAGTACAATATATTAAATTTTTGCAACAAAAATAAAATTGAATGATTTTTCTATGATTAATTAGACCAAATCATCCAATAATTTAAGTGTATGGATGGAAACCCGTAGTAATTTTTAATCCTTACCAAAGTTATGTGTTCGATCCGAGTATCATATAACTACTTTTTTTTTTTTTTTTTTTTAAGTATCATATAACTATTTGTAGTTTAGTGAATTAATAAATTCTAGTACTTATACTTTATTAATTAAAGTAAAAAATAAAAAAATCATTTTTAAGTTAACACATACACTAGTACTACTCATGATCAAAGAAGAAGAAATCAAAGTTATACCTAAGCAGAATGCACTAAGTAAAATAGTTGCAGCCAAAATAAAGATGATGATTGATGCTCTCCCCATTAATGTTATTAGCTTGCTGACCACATGCTGTCCTGTTAGCGCAGCAGCGATGGCGACCAAAGCTAGATAAGCAGCTGCAAAAGTGTAAAAGAAAAGGCGGTACATAATGCTTCAAACACCCATGTACTAAAGTACATAAAGAGAGTACATACCTTATAGTCCTATATTCCTAGATTTAGCAAATAATTTTTACTTGAACGTTTGGATGAATTAAGGCGAACACATAGTGTATGTTACGAAGTATACTTTAAGATCAACTTACCATATGGAACAGGGAAACGCTTAAGAAGGTAGTATTGTACAACTGACATCGATGATGAAAAAGCCATTGAAAAAGTTGAAGTTGCACTAGCCACCTGCAATTACAAATAGAGAAAATGGTGAAAAAGGGCCTTTTAAGTGGTCGACCTTTTGAAAAAGGATCTTTTAAGTGAAAACTTGTGAAAAAAGACCTTTTAAATTGCACTTATTTTTTTTTAAAAAAAAAACCTCAAATTTTGGGATTTTTTTTTGTTTTTTTTTTAAAAATAATTCACGTGACTAACACGTGATAGTCAACGCCGGAGCTGATTTGACCACTTAAATCCTCTATTTAAGCATTGACCACCACAAAAGGTCACCCAAGTATCCCATGCAAACAAAATGCAACTTAAAAAGTTTTTTTTCACAAGTTTTCACTTAAAAGGTCATTTCTCAAAAAGTCGACCACTTAAAAGGTTTTTTTTCACAATTTTCTCTTACAAATAACCAAATTATTAGTGAAATTACACACTTTTTTTACACATAAAATTGCATATAGTTTACATATTTGTTGACTGAATACCTGAGGAGGGATTCCAATTTCAAGAAACAAGGGTGTTAATATGAATCCTCCTCCTAATCCAAGCGTGCCAACTATCGTACCAGCTGCTATCCCACAACAACAATATAGGAACAACTGAGACACCCTCCAATTTGTGACATCTTTTCCCTTGGGTGCAATCGTTTTCTTCCCTTTGTATAAACCTATTGCTTGATACAGAGTAGCTGACAACGCGATTGGTACCTGAATATATTGAAAGATCAAGTCACATAGTATAGAAGTATGAAAGACTTTTCAATGACTATAGTAAAATGTAGCTACCATATACTCCGTCTGTTCCTTATTTTTTGCCCCATATGACTCATAAAGCTCTCACAAACAATTGGGTCATGGAGCAGACAAAAAGGGATTGAGGGAGTACGTACTTTACATAATGATGAGTTTACACTAAGACTAGAATTTAAAACCGTTGATACGAAGTTTGAGAGGTTTTATATACCTGCAAGAAGTTGAGTATCCAGTACTCCATAGAGCATTTCCTGACACATGTCTTCATAAAAATTGTTAAGATTTCAGCAGTTAGCAACTTACCATTTTGAACTTAGAAAATGGTTAAATAAACAGATAAAATTTTTGTAGTCTGATTAGTTTTCTAAAACTCTCTAGTTGGACACGTTCAATACTTTATACATGAGTACTGCCTTCATTTCTTAATATTCTTTATACAGTCTGTGCAAATAACAACTTCATAGAGCTTAGATTACTCTGTATAGAAAAAGAACTCACCTTTGTTATTTGAAGGACAAAGAAAGCAATCCAAACAACAGCAAGCAAACATAATTCTGCCCACTGTACATTTGATGACAATGAAACCTGGAAGAAAATCAATGTCCCTATGAATCTACTAACGAAGTATAATCAAGAGTTTTATTCTCTTCGGCATTTAACCCATCCCCAAGCTAGGTAGCCCATTCCTAACCAGTTGGGTTCGGAATAACTATCTAGTTCAGGCCATTAACCACCTCTAGTCACAACAACGAATATATATTACTCCCTCTGTCCCCTTTTGTTTGCACCACGACTCATAAAACTCTCACATAAAGTGGACCCAGGTTGCAAGAAAAGGGGGACAAAGGGAGTATATTTTAATCATAAATGTACCTCATACTGTTGTGAAACTGCATTACCATCAGAGAGTCCTTTAGAATCACTTGCAGAAGCTGCAGAACCATCTACAGAGTTCCACATTATGCAAGTATAAATCATTATTTGAATAAGATGAATATGTTTAACGGCCTACAAAAATGAAGCATACTTTGGAGCAACTGAGTGGTTTCAACTGCTGCTGCATCTCTATCTGTCAATGAGATCTGCAAGGATAACTGTATCGACTGTTCGAGTTTATTTTCCAGCAGCTTGTTAGCTTCCTGAAAGTCGTTAAATATGTTTGGTTAATCTGTATGCAATGATTGCCAACCCTCATCATATGTGTTTCTAGCTCTAACACGAATTACATATAATGCTTGAAAATCAATAATTATTACTCGTACCTTCTTAATCAATGTCTCTTTCTTCCATGTAGCTATGCCTCTTAATATAGCTTTGGTTGATGTAACTGCCATCAAAATCCAATAACTTTTGCTTAGGAATAGCATAAAGTAGAAACATCGTTGTTTTTCCTATAATTTGAACTAGTATTCATTTGCCAACACTACTATATCCGGCCAATTTGGGGCAGAACGAAGTTATACATTTCAGGTATATATAGTTGTCACATTACTAATTCAAAATATTTTATATGCGTACTAATAAATTATTGTTAAAATGCTTGTAGAAAGATGTGGTAAATTACCTAAAAACAAAATGATAAACAGAAAAGTGATCATCCAATCAGCAAAGAGGATATTGAAGGCAACTCCAATGCTGATTCCTAACAAAAGCATGGGCTGAAAGAGCAGAGCAAGGTCATAATCAATGAGGGGCATGTCCAATGTTGGATGCCTCTGCTTTATGTTGTAATATACTGTTGATCCCGCTGCACCCATTATCATACCTGCAACCTTAGATGTTAAGTGTAACAGGATACGACTTTTAAGATGGGTTATGTTAGGTGCAACTGTAAGTATTATGCGTCTCACAATCTCACATTAAAAGGTAAAACGAAGAGTATTCCATATATAACCAAAAATCCAAAATGAACCCTCTTTTTATACTTTTTAGCGTGTAAACCACTTATATATATTGCTATTTTTGTTCAAGTCTAATGTTTGACACAATTTCCTTTCAAATTATGAATATATGTACCAACAAACAATGTGCACCACGCGTTATGGTACACAATAACATGATGTAACAACGTAACATACTAACATTAAAAAAGGTTGAAAAAGAAACTTACATTTAGACACAGCAGCTGCAGACTTGGAATCAAAACCAAGAACTAGAGTGAGCATTGGGACATAGATACCGCCACCACCAACACCACCAGCGCTCCCCATTGCGGCTCCAACGAATCCGATTACGGAACCTACAACTACCCTCCATCCTAGTTCAAACTCCTGCTTAACCCATGTCCAAAAACATAATGTTTGAAAATAATGAACAACATACAATAAAATTATTTTAACATGATTACAAGAAAGGTATGTGTAAGAATGTAACACTCACAGGCCAAACATGGTGGTATGAAGCCATTATCCTTAATGCTAGAAGACTGAATGTATGGAGAAAATTAAAAATGAAATCTTAAAGGTTTTTTCTATGTAATTATAAAATCATTAATTCGTTATTAAGAATATTTTTTTTCTACTTACAAAGATATAACTAAGTGAGCTTAGTCATTGAGATTTGCGTATTACTACATCGGTGATTGCATGTTATGCTAAAAGTGGACGGCACAAAAATTAGCATTGACTAATCAATTGTTAATAATTAAAGTCAAAACTAATTTTCGCATAAAATATACTTAAATGAAGTTAAATTTGCAGCCAATTAGAGGATTTAGTGGCTATTATTTATTTAGTTTTATTTTACCTCAAAATGTGTAATGTTAAGTATAAACTTATATTATAACCCAATAATGTTACACAATTCAGTATTCAATTTTGATTGAAAATCCTTAACCTATTTACTCGTAGTAGTTTTGACTTGGATTTCACTAGCTATCAGTAATATTAATTGGTTCTATATGAGTAATTTTTTGCTGATCTGGTTGATTAATTGATTTCGCCAATGTTTACTTCCACAATGCTAGTTCAATTTAGATATTTTTAGGATAAGTTTAACCCGTCTTATAATAATATATTAAAAATCCACCTTAATTTGTATTTAATGAATTTATATGAAGATGACGCAAACATGAGAATGGAAATAAAATTATATTGTAAATTCATTTTTATTACCGCCATGTATAGACAACTTCTATAAACCGTCGAACAATCACTAACTAATTAGCTGCTCATCCATCTGCCATAATAAAATTCGTACATGCAGGCATTTTCATAGTTGAAGAGCTCCATTACTTCTTTCTATTTCTTTCTTTTAAAGTAATGAATTAAATGAGTTCCAAGTTAAATTGAATGGGACAGTGAATAAATTATGTAAATTAATTAGTTAACAATTGATCAAATTGCGTTATATAGTGGCCTAGTGGCATTTAATTCGAGAAACACTCTATAGATTGTTTTTCAGTTCTTAAGACGTTGTGGACATGCATGTTTCAAGTATGTACTAAGAGGGGACTTAGTTTATGAAAAGTCACACGTGAATTAACAAAGGGTTAGACTAACATATACCCAACAACTACATAAGTTTTGAGTTGGTGAACTTGTATGTCGTCAGATTCTTATTTGATATAAGCTTGTATTTTGTTCAAATCAAAACACTACTTAGGACATGTTCCGCAATATCCTTGAAGTATTTAAGTGTATTGACTTTATAGATCACTATACAATCTTAAAATTATGAGTAAGGTTTAGCAAAATAATGGTGGATAGTAGGTCCATTTCATAAATAACAAAACACCATGTGTTTGATCTCATTCATAACATATAAACGATGACTAACATCTAAGATCCAACATTTATCTACCTCGACCATTTACAATTGGTTTTAGGTTAGAATCCTCCAAGGCATAATGATGTATGAAGGTTTATTTATTTATTATATTTATTTTTATTTTATTTTTTTATTTATTTAATGGCCCATTCTTATAAGCCATTTTAATGAGAAAGTATTTGAAGGTTGAACTTGAAGCTTAAGATAGTAGGACTTTTTCATATACTTAGTTTTAATGTGAACATGTTTTGAATCTTTAGATAATTGCCAAGAAAATCAAATAAAAGTCAACTAATAATTATAATTAGGACAATCACCCCAATTCAATTTACAATTGGCCAATCAATTTCTTCAAGAATCAATAAGTTTTCAAAAGTTTAATTAAGAAAATTTAAGTTCAAGTTGATATTGACAAGTCTATATTATTACTGAAACAAACAAAACCTAAATCAAATCTTGTTGCTATCGCTATATATTCCGAAGTATTATTATTATTTTGAGTCAAATAACAGAATGGTACTCCGTACAACATCTTCACAAATTATTGCCAAGACAAGCTTCCAAAGCAAATATTCCTTACAATTATTGCCATCTCAAATTAATAATAATTATAATAATACTTATGGGGATATTTATGGGGATCATGCAGTGTCTTGCGCTGGGATGGTGGGTATTAAATATCGGCACAACGTGGTTCGTGACACCCTTGTTGATATTTGTTTTCGGTCTGGGATTTCTGCTTGAAAGGAGGTTAACGTTGGGTTGATTGGAGGGAACGACAGGGCTCTTTGACCAGCAGATGTGTTGCTTTATTCCTGGGTAGAGGCCTTGATGTATGTGTTGACTTGACGGGGTCTTCACCTTTGACACAATTGGGGTTGTCTGACTTCGTTCCTGGTCGTGTTGTGTCTGGGGCGGCTCAGCGAAAGCGGAAGTATAGGACGCGTTGCAGGGCTATTGGCTATGGTTTTCTTCCGTTCTCCTTTTCTTCGTTGGGTGAATTAGACAAGGATGCCGTTGTTGAAGCGGGTTCAGGGGTTCGCTATGACTCAGAATATTAGTGCTCGTGCAGCTGCTTACATCTTCAGCAGGATCGGTTTCGCTATAACTAGAGGGGTGGGGGGGCCATATTGTATCTCGGCTCCCCACCTATTTCTTATAAATTGATTGAATTTGTAAGTTTTTTGATATTTTATAATAATAATAGTAATAATAATAATTACGCGTCATAAACTTCGAAATTCATATGACATATTCTAATCATTGGTCTTATACGTTAGGGGGTACCAACGTTGCTGCTGGACTACACGGTGCTAACATCTATCATTGGCTTTATTTTCAACATGAGTTTATTTTTTTAGGAAGTTTAAAACCCATGGACAATAATAACGCGATCATAAGCATAAAAAAAATTTCCGAGGCACTATAGGTATAGTTTTCGAATCTTTATCAACAAAGCTAGTTAGCATTTATACTCATGTTGTAGACTTAGAGGATTGATTATCAACTCATCATTATGTGAAGTCATTATTTCAAGTGGAAATAAAACATTCATAAATCTTAATAGTCTACTAGGAGACTTTAAATGGTTGGTTGACAATTGACTGCATTATAAAAAGTACAAGTAGAACTTTTACACACTACAATATATTTATAATGCAACTATGCAAGTATCTAAATTTCTCTATAACTATAAAGTTCTTTTTCGGCCGCATTGTTTGTTTAAAATGCAAGTGTCTAATATTGTACTATACTGATAATTGAAGGTTTGTTACATGTATGTTCCATATTACATCATGAAAGTGACTGTGAGTATAGAGTAGGAGGGCAACTAACATTAGTTTGTGTAAAGTCTTCGTATTGTAATGCGAGAAAAAAAAAAGGTAATAAATTTTTTGAGGGCAAGAGGGGAAGAAGATGCGTGCTAAGTTGCTTGCATGTCGGATTACAAATATTAAAAGGTTGATAACGGTTAGATATCTAATAACTAGTTGATAGGTCTGAACGCACAATTAATACTTGAAATGAGTATTGTAAGGGTTGTTGAAAGAGTTGCGGTATCACAATTGTTGTGGGCCTTGTGGCCTTGGTGTTCAAAAGAATATTTCCATGTCCATTTTTTGTTGCGTGCCATAAGACTTACCATCTTTGAATTATATATATAAATACTCTCATTGTATCTAAATAAGTTCGTCAATCAAACTTACTATTCAAATATTAACTTTAACTTATTAGTATATAAAAATCAAATATTATTATGTAAATTTTTGTTGGATTATTAATTACAATGTATATTTTCATAATCTCAATACTTATGGCCAAAGTTGGGCCATCCAAAGTGATAGATATATTTAGATACCGAGAGAGTAATAAACTGGGATAAATCTAATCACAATAATAAGATAGTAAGTGGTGTACATTTGTTTTTTAATCCAAGGGAATAACGCATTAATTGTTGAGCTTGTTATATTCGGTAGAAGCGTAAGATATAAGCACAAGTGGTTTACAAGCTTACTAAGCTTTTCAACTTTAACACCTCTATCTTAATCATGAACTTTAATTTCACTAATAAGGATTTTATTTTTCTATTAATAGGGAATAAATTAGCAGGATCTTAATAAAGAACATCAACCCAATCATCCTTACTTTCAGATGAAGTACATAGCACTCGTTAAATAAATAACCAAAAGTGAAGTTTGGTGTCAAAATTCGTACTAACTTGAAAAGATATGATAGAAGAGTAAGAAAGTAATTCCGGTGAAATTTCATAACACTTCCTTCAAAAAGCTTTTACGCATTTTTAGATCATCTGGTCATGTTCTTTTAAGTTGTTGTTGTGTGATCTGCTATAATTTATTATGCTCTACTGCTCTGCTTAGTATTAATAATCTGCTCAAAAGAACAAGGCCTTAGTGTAACTTGAACCAGGAAACTGTTATATAGAAAAAAAAATTAAATAATATAAAAAAAAAAAACTCATAAATGACCAAAGACGTTTTTTTTTTTTTTTTTTTTTTTTTTTTTTTTTATTTTTTATTTTATTTTATTTTGCATGCGTATATTGTTTGGCTTATTCCATAACATGATGACAAGAAACATTAATTCATGGGTGGGGATGATTGGAATCCAAGAGATTTTCTCATTTGTGGATTTTTCATGACATAATAAAAATAAATGTTCATGAACGAATGTGAATGTTCTTATTAATTGCGTAACTTTTGAAATTCATGACGTCTATAATATCTTTTTTTTTCTACAAAATTAGTCTCTACCTCTAGTAGAGGGCCTCCAATCATGAGATGACTCTAATAGGATTATTTATATACAAGTGTACTTTGTATTGGCTAGTTAAGTACTAGTATTACAAATTCCATCCTCTCTTATAAAAATCCTAGATTTCTTCAAGTGTTGATGTAATCTAAAGTCTTTTTTGTGTATTCTA